CATTCTCAAGAATTTCAATATTATATTCAACTGATATCGATATCGTATCGTAGAGGTGAGAATAATGGTTTGTATTCAGTAGTAGTCTAGTTCAATTTAATAAAAGATATAGACTGGATTCGTGTACGAGTAAATAAGTTTTTTTGAAACTTTATATTTAAGGAAAAGTGCAATAACTCAACAACGCCGTAACCGAATTTCAAAAACCAAACATGAAATGATATCAGAATTTAACGTAGCATCTGAATATGTAATGATATACAGGGCGTTCTTTTTCAAAAAATGGAATTTTGGTCTGTAGCACCTACACCAAACACCCTGTATATTTAAAAATTATATCAAAATATAGCTCTCATGAACTCCTAAAACTGTTGTATGAAACATTTTTGTGTATCTCCTTTAACAAACCAGATATTGCCTGTCACATAAAATGTGGGACACCCGGTATATAAATAAATAAAAAATCAATACTCACACACACATGCACTTCCATGTTTTATGTTTTTGTGGAAGGGCGTTAAACATTTTATAACCTGAATACAAATGAGAATTATGAGATTTGGTTAGTCTGAAGACGCAGATCACTACCACCTCTGGTACTGTAACTATGTACATGGCAGTTTAAGGTTACCTCATTCGCCAAAATTTTGCTCCCAACTTGAAGAAGGCATATATAACAACAAGGCAGCGGCATGATGTTAAATTTTTTAAAAAAGGGCTTACAATGAGCGTCATACTCGCTAGAAGAAATTATTCTAATGACTTTTTTTGTGCTATGAATATTTGATTGGCATGAGTCGCACTTCTCCAAATAATCAAACCATTAGTCATTATACCGTGGAACATAGCAAAGTACGCTATTTTTGAATAATCAAAGGACAGCTGATATTTCAATTGACGCAACGCATAAGAAGCTTTGGCCAGACGTTTTGCTAGATCCTGAATGTGAAATGAAAAATTTAGTTGAGAGTCTATGTGAAGGCCCAAGAGTTTAACTCTATCCTCAGATTTTTCCGCATGGTTTAAACTGAGATGCTGCGTTTTACTTCCATTCAAGCATTCTGTTCTGAACAATTAAGGGTCTGTAAAGCACATAGAGCTAATACAGTAGACCGGTTAGGTCTATAGCCAAATTGCGCATTACACAGTAGCCTATTTGACTCAAAAAATTGGAGTAACCTTTCCTTAAGAATTAGTTCAAATATTTTACCAATTAGCGGAATGATAGAAATTGGTCGATAATTATCAGGAAGGTTAATATCACCCTTTTTATGTAATGGGGTCACCTTAGATATTTTGAAAGCGAATAAATCTGACATTTTCAATAATTTTTTCCCGGAACTTGTATCGATGACAAGATAACAGTTCGCATTACTACCCAAGATTCAATAAGAGTTGTGTGATTTTCATGAACGCACATCATCTGGTTCCAACTCTACAAGGAATCTCAAAAAATGAGTCTGATTGTATCAACAATTTTTTTTTCGAAATCTGTTTGGGTGGCAAGAACATTGTTATTACTATATCGATCTACCCGAGATTCCATGAGACTTTTTCGATTTTCATGCACGCAGCACATCATCTGGTTCCAATTCTACAAGGGGTTTTGAAAAGTTAGTCTGATTGTTGCAACAATTTTTTATGGAAATTTGTTTGGGTGACAAGAAAACTGTTTTCACTATGTTGATCTACCCAATATTCTATAAGAGTTGTGTGATTTTCATGAACGCACATCTCCTGGTTCCAATTCTACAAGGTGTTTTAAAAAGTGAGTCTGATTGTAACAACAGTTTTTCCTGAAAAGAAAACGGTTTTCACTATGTTGATCTTCTCGAGATTCTATAAGAGTTGTGCGATTTCCATGAACGAACATAATCTGGTTCCAATTCCACAAGGTGTTTTAAAAAGTGAGTCTGATTGTTTCAACATTTTTTCCCGGAAATGTGTAAGGGTGACAAGATAACTATTATCATTACATTAATCTACCCGATATTCCATAAGACTTGTTCGATTTTTATGCACGCACTTCATCTAGTTCCATTTCTACAATGGGTTTAAAAAGTCAGTTTGATCATTACAACAATTTTATTATCAAAATCTTCTAATCAAATAATACTTCTCAGTGCACGAAACAATGTGAATGAATGAAATAACTTATTAACCTGATATTATCACTGTAAAGAACTCTCATTCTTCAAATAATATCATTTGATTCATCCACATCGATAATGTATAACTCAACGACTACCAGAATATTTTCTCCTTTTTCTGAACCTAACATGCATCCAGAAGACGGTATTGAAAGATCGAAACATTATGGTTTAACGTCGAGATCACTGAAATCCAGTAGTCGCGGGGGCTGTATCTGAAAAGTATGGAGAGGGGAGGCACCTATAATAGTTACTCTTGATGTGTTTTCCATTTTCGAAGTAGTCGATGTCAATTACACTATTGCGTTTCTGGACACTTTGAAAGGCTTTCACCGGGTGCATGCGTCGATTATTGAATACCCAAGCAAAAAATACTGTATGTTTACTCATATTGCGTCTGAAAACTGACGAATGTTCGTCGTGGCCTTGCGAAAACAATTTTTAACAAGGATGATAAACTTTGAAAGTGTAAATTGACAAATTACTCTATTCGGTATAACACAAAGAACAAATGAAGAGTGACGAGAGGCGTCATTGAAATTATTTTAATAGAAACGCTTATCAATTATCGTGCTGATGAAGCGTCCGTCTAGGGAGGCGTATTAAAGGTCATTCAGGCCACACGAGTCCCAGAACTCCTCCATCCTCAGACTGAAATTCCAGGGTAAATTTCGGAAAGTTTCCTTGGGTTCTTCTTCTGTTGGGGCTTCCGGTGTGGCTAGGCATATAATTGTATAGAATCGAAATGTCAATTGATTTCCGATTGATTGGTACATCTTGGATCTCCTTACTTTCTTCTTTCTTGATTTCTAATGTTTTTTGAATATATTTAATTTCATCTAGGTTGATAGCTTCCAATTTAATTGGATTAATGTTTTGGAATTGGGGATTCAAAAATGAATAATTGTTTCAAAATTTAATTTTGTAAGTTTGAATAGTTTGAATTCAATTGTTGGATTTTGAAAATTTCTCATGACAATATTGTCTATCTTGACTTCACATTATGAATCAAGTTCTGAAATTAAAGTTTCTTGAGGAGGAATTGATTCTTTGCTATTNTTGGTAAAGGGTATTTGTCATCTACAGTGTGTTCATTAAGTTTGTAGTAGTCAATTACCAGTCTCCATTTTTTTGTCCGGAGGCCTCTGATTTTTTTAGAACTATCCAAAGAGGGCTTGATAAGGGTGACGTTGTTGGTTGGATTATACCTTGTTGTAGCATATTTTGAATTTGATTTTCAGCTTCTTTTTATGGATTTCAGGGTATCTATAGGTTTTTGTGTAAATAGGGATTCCGTCTGTTATGTTTAGTTTGTGTCAAATATCGTTTAAAAGTAATTTATTATTATAAAAAATAGCTCGATATTTCAAACAAAGGTTTTTGCCTTCTAGGCTTGGCTTTTTGAATATTCTCTTTAAAAATGTTTAATTCTTCGTCGGTTTCCATTTTTTCAGTGAAATTTGTTTCTTTTGTATTTAATAATTCAATTTCGAATGGTTTCTTGATATGTATTTCGATTGCAAAGGTGTTTGGATCAGTAGCAGTAGTATATGCAAAATAATTTTCGATATTAACGAGCGCTTGAGGTGATTCGACTAAGTCTTGATATTTTTGATATTTTAAAAATCTTATACCTTTCTCTTCAATCACGGGCAATTTTACTATCTTAGTTGTTCTGGGTGGTACAATAATCATATGGTTTTTTATTTTGAGGTAAGTTTGAACATTCTCCCGTTTCGTTTACGATGGGTATTTTAGCAAGTGGTGTTATAATTTATTTTTTCTCAAGTTTTACAGAGGCTTCAATTTGTTCAAAGAAATTTATACCTATAAATCCGTCATATTTAATACTGAAATCTAATAAAAAGAATGTGTGTTTTTGGTTTACTTCAAATTGTTTGAAAATAGGGATATTCATCACGATAACTTACATTATGTGCTGTTTGAATATTGAAATCTCCTTTTACATTGTGATTTTTATAAAATGTTTATGCTAATTAAGGTTCAATGAGGCTTCTAGTGCTTCCAGTATCTATCAAAAAGTTTGCATTCAACTAAGGAATGAAGATATAAGGTAGTTCAGCTTTGACTATATGAGTTATTATGTTTTTGATTCAGTGTCTTCCTGTTGAGAATTTGGGATTATATTTTCAACACGTTGATTATCAAAATCTAGGATTCTCAGAAATAACATGTTAAAATATAAGACCTCGTTAATCCTTAGCTTGCACAAGTTTTGAATTCTGAGGGTTGTTGTTCGTAGAGGTGCGACAGCTGGTTAACAGCTGGTTCATTACTATAGGCGTCTGGATAATTTTCGTTTTCTTGTTTGCAGTAAGAGTTTTCGTATTCTTGTTGGTTTTTAAAATGATAATTTTGTGGGTCATATTCGTCAAAATTGCAAAAGTCTTGATTAAATAGCTCCGTTGCCTGAAATTTATTTTGTGGATTGATTTTGTATTACCTGAAGATGTATTTAAATGTTCTGGTTTAGAGTTTGGTTTAATTTGTTGAGGATATTTCATTCTTTGAGTTTATTGATTTGTGAAAAAGGGGTGTTTTTTGTGGGGAAATTGTTTGTATTTCATTAGTTCGGACTGCCACTGACTAGTATGATATAAATAGATTGGAAATCCCAGAAAGAATCTATAAAAAATTAAAAAGATTAGCTGAAAATGAACAATTATATCAAGAAAAAAAATATGATTGTTATTTTTCGAACTAAGTCCCAACTGATGAAATGTATTTCTCTCTAATATTTTTCAAATCTATAATTTATTTTTTCAGGAGAAGACTAATATTGATCTGAATATAACGGATGGGCGTATTACAGGAATAACAGGTGTGACAGCGGAAGAAAATAAACCATACATTGCTTTCAAAGGTATACCATATGCTGAACCACCTGTGAACAACCTTCGGTTCGAGGTAAGGAACATGTGATTCGTTTTCAATTATGTTCATAATTCTCTATGTAGATTTTATGAAAATGTATTATATAGAGATACAAAAAGTAATACAATAATATAAATTTGTTACAAAAAGGCATAACTTACTGTTAGTGAGGATGGCCGTGTCCAAAATAATGTTACAATCAAAGAGTTGATACATGTCAATAAAATAAAACAAAAAATAAAAAAAGGTTTGAGTCCTCACTGATATTAGAAAGATTATTTTAATTTACATAATTAAATCGCTATATGGTTTGAAATAATAAAATACTGGAAAAAGCCATGTGGCTGCAGATCACAGAGAGCGATAATAAAACAGTTGATACTGACAGCTGTCATGTGATTCAGTTTGAAAAATGGTTTGTTTGTATGACCGTGTCGAAAAGAATGTTACATTCAAATAATTGGAACATACAATAAACAAGTCACTACATTAAAAGAGGTTGAATCCTCACTGGATATAAAGGAGAATATTGAATTGAAATTAACTGAAATATCGTTTGTTTTAAAATTATGGTTTATCGGTGAAAGCCATGTGGTTGAAGAACGAAGAGAGAGACAAAAAACAATTGACAATGACATCTGTCATGTAATTCAGTTTCGAAAAGTATGTTTGTCGATCATAAAATTATGAAGCGAAAGAGAACTATTATGGTGCAAGTATGATCAGAGACATCTGCTGTTCTGTAAGTTACTCAATGAGAAAACCCAAAAATCAAATATGTTAATCAATTGACAGATTTTGAACAGAACAGAATTGACAACACCCCCATTAGTCTTGAGGAAAACAAGTGAAACGGTGTTGTTAAATGAAGGTAAAGCCCTGCCATAGGGAGGTTGAAAGTTTGTTAGAAAAGGAAATATTTAAAATGTTATGAATTGAATTGATGAAAAACCAGAATTATTATTGGTTTGGAAAACATCAAATATCTAATAAAAAGGCATAGATTTCACTGAGGTGGAAATGACATTTCCAAAAACTAGTCAGCAAAGACTGTCCTTGAACTATATATACTCTTTTAAGTTAGTCCAAGCTTTCGGAAAATTTTATTTCCATCATCAGGGAAACTACAATAATATAAGTTTTAAAGTAAGATCAAAAATATTAAATGTTCATGACTTACATCTTATGTGACGATGGTTGCATTGATGTTGAAGAAAAATAGAAAAATTGTTGATACATTGGAGAAGATGAAACTTGATATACAATTCTAAATGCTTGAGATTATTTTTTATAAAATATTGTTTTTCGTCAGACCCTTATTCACATCATGCGTGCAGGACTCAAATGAACGAGTCTGAGGATAGAACGTTAAGAATGCCAGAGTGACATCTGTCAATTGATAAAACTTATATATTCTCACTGGGAGTACCAAGTGTACTCTAGTGTATAATGTAAAATTTATGTTTGAATGAAATTGTTATGAAAGATTAAATTTAAGATTTATTGTACAATGGAATTGTTCAAATTGATATTGTTTTTGTAAAAGCTCTTATCTAGAGTCAATAAGAAGGAATAAATTTCACTCAAGTGAAGAATGTACCAGTTGAAGAATTTCAAGTATGTCCCATTTATTCTATAGTCGTTCTCTTGGGAAAATTTAACAATAGCAGAACTATAGTAGAATAGTATAACAAGAGAACTATGAACAGTGACAGAAGTCCCGTTGTTTATTCTTTCATGAAACAGGAGTAGGAGTCCTGCTAGTTTTTAAATGTGCAATGCATACGATGCATGATGAAAGTGAGATTACAGATTTACCATGTTAGATATATATTCAAAAAAAAATACAGTTGAGTACGTGGTATAGTTCATTTTCTGCTGACGTGAATGTTATTCATGAGTGTTGTACGTCTGGTATACAGGAGCAGATTTATTGTAGGACTCAATTTAAATCAACATTAACTTCATTTTCAGCCTCCTGTAGCGAAAAAGCCATGGAACGGTACATTGAACTGCACCTACGACAAAAGCCAATGCATTCAAGGAAGCAATCCTGTAGCGGGGTCAGAAGATTGCCTTTTCATCAATGTTTACACAAGATCGGTGAGTATAACTGACACCAAATAAATTGTGACCAAATGTTAATTATTATGCATGACCACATTTTGAAAATATACAGTGTGTGGCCCATACGGCACAGCCCCAGCTGTGCCGATCATATCTAATAATAAATAATACGTATTCGGTATACTCATGCACTAAGTCCCGTTATTCTAGTTATCCGTGACAAACAATTGAAGCTGTTGCTAGGACTACCTAAACAAATAGGCTAATGAATATGCTGTCACTTTTAAACATTTATTTGTTGTGTAGTTTATATGGCAATATATGGTAGATATGGCAAATCATACTAGAAACGAGAAAATTGACATGCCGCTAATTTACGGAGAAACAAAAAAGAATGCAACTGATGCAGCTCGAATTTATACTCAGAGGTTCCCTCCCACTCGGCATTATTTTCCAAAACTGGAAAGAAAAATGCGAAATGAACCAGAAGAAAATGCCAATAACTTCATCGTCAGTGAAGAAAAAGAAGTAGACGTGTTGGTCTATGTTGAAGTGAATTTTGGGCATCAATTCGTCAACATCAGCTGCTCGTGAAGAACTAGAGCATAATATAAGGGTGGCATTCCGGAACATCACTGAAGAACAGCTAATCAATGTGATACGCGCAACAATTGAAAAAGTTGAACTTTGTTGTGGTCAAGGAGGAGGCCATTTTGAAAATATATAACCTTAATGGACCAATTTGCGACTTTTTTGCAATTATTGAGAAAAATAGAGGAACTAGAGTGGAAGTGTGTGGCATCAAATTATTCGTAAGGGAATTATCTTTTAGTAGATCTTTCAATAGTTTTCACATGTTACTTGATCAATAATGAAGTGATTCACACGATCCATGGCATTCTAGATCAACAAATAAAAATTGAAATAAAAATGACTTTATTTGTCAAATATCAACAAGTGAAGTATTGTTAGAGTTAGAATGTCATTCTCGATCGAAATAAGTAAGAATATATAGGATTTCCCATTTAAAAATCGAAAGTTGGTCATTTCCGATCAAACCGAAAGTACGGCAAAGCTAGTAAATATGTCAAAAATGTAAATAGAACTATAATACACAACCCACAAATTTCGTTTTTCTATCTCCAATAATAAAAAAGTTATAGGGGTGAGCCACCGTAGAGAATCACGCGGCATATAAAAGTATATAATGTGGCTCAAAAAAGTGTGACATATCGGAGTTGTGTTTTTTTGATGGAACACCTTGTATTTCTTTACACTTTTGAATAAGTCAGAAAGAAATAATATGTGAGAGAATTTATCTAGTTGAAGCTGGGATGATTCTGCAACCGTGTTAGGAATCACACGTTAAAAGGTAAGACCTCGTTAGTCCTTAGCTCGTACAAGTTTATCAACTCCTGAGAGTTGTCGTTCGAATAGAGGTGACAGCTGATTAACGGAAAAAACGGTTTTAAACAGATTTTTCAAACAGATTGGTATTGTATTGGAAACTAAATAACATAGAAATTAATAGAAGTCTTTCCTTCAAATTCTGACCAACCACAAAAGAGGTTTCGAGCTCTTGATTTCGATAAAATATGTTTCTCAATATCATACAGAATAATCAAAAATCATTGTCACTTTTTGATAATTTCGGACAAAATAGAACACCCTTGTATTTTTTCGGTCTGAACAATATAAATTTCGTCCACCCACACATAACAGCACAAAGTAGCAGCTTTCAACAGTATGATCCACAGACTGATGAATGTGCCCTTGTCAGAGGCGAATTTCAATAAATCAAACAAATAGCCATCAATAAAATCAAACAAATAGCCGTCAACAATGAATACGATAGCAGACTAAAACATTATTTTTCATCAAAAAGTTATACAGCCAAGCTTTGAAGGAAGTTTACCCAATTCGAAGAGAAGATGATAAAATTTATAGAATCTTTACCTACTTAGGACAACCCACTACAAATATTTCAGATTTTCTGCACAACAAAGGTGTAAATATTGCTTTCAAAACCAACAACAACTTAGACATGTACATCAAAATAACAAAGATAAAAGTTCAGTTTCAGAAAAATCGGGAGTGTATAAATTATCATGTGGGTCATGTCCGTTGTTTTATATAGGTCAAACTGGAAGAACGATCAAAGCCTGCATAAAGGAACACAAATATAATTTTAAGAATGGATGAATAAATTCTACATATGCCATTCATTCAATAAAAGGGGGACATGAGTTCAACCATGAATACAAGCCATCCATTTCCAGAAGATAGGTTTGAAATTTAACCTGTTGGAGAGTATGGAAATAAACAAATTCAAAAACTCTCAATATTTCCTGAACGATCAAATCGAATTAAATCATTCGCCATTATTGAATCTGTTAGTTTCCAAGTAGAAATAGTTAGGTATATTTACGATACTTTTGAAAAAAAATTATTCAAAACATTCACTGAATTATTACTGTTGAAAATGAAAACTTATCCCAATCAAGAGTGAATAATTATGATTTTAGTAACGATTGTTGAGTGTTTAGAGAATGGGGAATGTTCCTCAATTTGAGTTATTACAACAAATACAAGTTTGAACAAAATAAAGTTGAGTTCAATTCATGAGTTTTTCAAATTCACTTTCAAAAGTATTCGAATTGATGTTTCAGATGTTGGGTTTTAAGTTTTAAGGAATTTGTTTCTGATTCCCATATTGGCAACAGTGCCTAGAAATAATTTATACGTAGGTGCCTAGACATTCTGCTGTAAAAAAGGAAAATTATCTTTATGAATCAACAATTAGGGCATAATATAAATTAAAGTTCAATACTACCTCTACAAGTCACATAAACAACAGTTGTTTTGTTATTTATTCATAGACAGTATGACCGACAGTGAGTAGTGCATGAAAGGGTGCTCCTAGTTAAAAGTCGAATATATATTAACAGAGTGCTTCAAAAGTTTTCAACATTTGCAAGAAACAACCTAATTTGTTGACTGAAAATATTGTTTTGTGAGAAACTGAAAATCATGGTTTTAACAAGAGAAAAACGAGACGAAATCCAAAGTGCAGTCAATATGGCTTTTAAACAATACCTAAACGATCAGGTATTCATAAAAACAATAGCAGCCAGTGTGTCCGAAGCAGTGACAAAAAGCATCAATAAGAAACTGGATGAAATGAACCAAAAACTCGAACAGATTAGAAATGAACATTCCCAAATTAAAAATGAATACCAAGCAAAATTCCAAATACAGGATGATACACTGCATAGATTGGAACGTGAAAATAAAAACCTTTAAGAAACTATGGATTTCATGGAACAAGAAATAAAAAAGAGCTCGCTGAGAACTTTTAACTTATCCGAGAAACAAAGAAAATACAAGAGAAGAAATCATCAAACTTATCACTTCCTACTTACACTAGAAATAACAGATGATGATATAGAAGTTTGTTACCGAGTCGATAAATCAGAAGCAAATAATAAAATACGTGGTATTTTCTTGAAACTGAAAAGGCAAAAGATATACCACAATAAAAAGTTATTGAAAGGAACAGGAGTTATAGTCAGAGAAGATTTAACCAGATTACGGGTTGAATTGCTAATGAAATCCATCGAAAAAACATCAATGTGTGAACGGAAGCTGTAACTTTGTTACTTTTTTAAATTAGGAGCATTAAAGAACATGTTGACGAGGTGATGATATATATAGAAGAGGGATATGATTATATGGATATATTTGTTCTTTCTGAATGTTGGAACTTAGAATTGGTGAGTGATTTTTATATTTCAAAATATTCTATTTATTATAATGAATCAAAATTCAACCAAAACGATGGTGTCGTAATTTATGTTAAAGATACATTACCGGTTCTTCAAAAAATATTTTATATGGCTGAATCTAACTTATTAAGAATAACATTGACAGTTTTCAATTCAACAATCGGGATTACCGCTTCCTACCGCCCACCATCTACAAATATTTGAAAAATGAATTTCTTATTATGGGATCAATCACAGAAAACTCAAATACGAGTCAACGTAAGATCAAGAAAGATACAGAGATAAGCAGACGGATCATTTCTAGGGTGATAACAAATACAAATTTCAACCGTACTGTATTCAGATTTATTTTACAATTTTCACGAGAAGATCTGGCTGAGCTTCTGGAGAACGTGCCACTAAATATCAGACAATATGTGTTTACAATACGATGGAGCTCCGGCACATTTCAAATTCAATCTCAGACAGTTTTTGAATATGTGCTTTCCGCATAAATGGACTGATAGGGAAGACCACAAAATTGGCCAGCGATATCAACAGATTTGGTTTGCCTCAATTTTTTTTCTATGGGGATATTTGAGAAATGAGGTTTACGATACTCCTTCTAACCACACTGGAAAATATAAAGGAGATAATTAGGGCTGCTTTTCGAAGAGTGGCTCCAAGAATGTTATTAAATGTTACCATTGAGAAAGTGGATTTTTGTATTCAACGGGATGGTCGTCTTTTCAAGCACCTATTTTAAATGGAATACGTCTGTGTGACGTATCATGTGCAATGTAAAAAAAATCAAATAATGGTGTAAGAAATGGATTTTGAGAGACATGCGACATCCCATTCTGAAATAGTTTTCAAGTAGTTCTTCTACAAGTGTTTCGTTATTTTCTACTTTCTTGTTACCTAAAAACTCCGAAACAATTCTTTTGAAAGAACTTCACGCATCTAATAAAACATTAGGTACTTAATTTTTCATCAAACTGTTGATTACTTAGTAGTTTTCTAATTAGTGGTCCAATAAATATACCTTCCTTGAGCTTTACATAACTTGATTTTGGAAAAACGGGTTTAAAATATTCAAACGCATTACCTTCTTTGTCTAATGCTTCTATAAAATTCTTCTTCAACCCCAGTTTAATGTGTAATGGAGGTGACAAAACGTTTTTGGGATTCACAAGAGATATATTTTTCACGGCAGCTTGACCTGAAATAGTCCTATGACTTTTAGGTCACCATATATTTGCCACTTATACGTATTATCAATCATTGCATTTAGAATAAGTGGCATACTTTCGTGTGTTTTCTTCATGGCAACGGCATGTGTAAGAGGAATAGAGGGTCTTTTGTTACCATCATGGAGCAGAATGGCTTTCAAACTTGTTTTAGATGAATCTATAAATAAACGTCATTCGTCTGGGTTATATGCAAATTCTAATTTTTCCATCACACCATTTGGATTTACACTAACACACATTTTATCCTGCATAGTAAAAAACGAGGATAGCTCATGGTTACGATTCCTAATTATTGAAACTTTGGTTTTAGGGGCTAGTAAATTCTATTGTTATAATTTAGATCCTAATAGTTCAGCATTCTCTTTCGACAAGTAGAGGTCCTGAACTAGGTCATTTAATTCAGGTTTTTCCATCACTCTCGAGAAAATAAGGACCGTCTTTTTCTGATAAATCCGCTGTTTTGCCAGATTTTAAGGAATTTCCTCAATTTAGAGAAAAAGCAAATTTGGAATGTCGTGTTCATTAAATTTTTGTGAAAAAAATCATAACTCAAAAATCTTACGTGTTGGGAAATTTTTACAATCATTTTTGCATTTAGGGACCAAAAATTAACCAAAGAACTGACATTGGCATAACAGTCGAAAATTGGCTGTAAACTGGTGTCATTATTTTTCCTGACCTATTCAAAAGTGTAACTGAATACAAGGTGTTCCATTAAAAAAACATATATTTTATATGTCACACTTTTTTGAGCCACGTACACTCCAAAATAATTTTCTTCTGCAGCTTCAATCAATATACATATAATGAAATGGAGAAATTTCAAAAAAAATGAATGGTTTGGTTTACAGGGACGGTGTCATATGGGGTACCCCACCCTGTATACAGAACATTTCATAATGAGTTCATAATACATCATTTTTCTGAAAAGAATCTGTAGGATGTGGCTGCTATCACAGTCGTATCAATGGACTACGGAAATTTCAGCATTTTATGACATCCTAGGACTTCCTAAGATGACCTACAAATGTCATTAGGACAAAATGGGGGTCACTACCTCTATACATGTCAAGACGATGAAACACAGATCATGCCTGGGATTATTTCATTTCTACATAATGTGATATCCTGTAAATAATCTGTATATACCATCAAGATCATAGTAGTGGTCTGCTAGATTGAAGTGTTCATCTATTTCGAACTTTGAACATGTTTGAAATCATCAGTTGTTATTAGATTGACTGGTGCCTCAGCTATACTTGTTTTATTATGACAGTCAGTTAGTTAGGCGCATGTTTGGCAATATAGTCGATCATCACCTGTTGAAAGTTCCATTTTCAGATGATTTAACAATAAGCTTTGCACGGACTGGTCATATTACGTCATATTAGGAAACGCTAGTTGAAATTTCAGAAATTCACATACGTTTTTGCCACCTCTTGAACATTTACTACAAAGTAAACAAGTGAGGATTTTTCCAGCAAAAGATTCACAAACACGAGACGAGATAGACTGTACGGAACATTCAATCCGGAGCGGTGAGGAGTATTAATTCTGCTATTGTTTTGCTCACGAAAAGTATTCAACAAGAACCCCATGAATTCGGAACAATCCTCTTGTTGTCCTAACGAGTATCTAGTTGACTTCAAAGACTCCAGGAAATCGGTTGGACGGAAAGATTATACATTTTTATGAAACAGCAGCTGCTTGAACAGGTGTTTGACTTTGATGAATAAGTAGGAAACATTCCCGTTCTCGTTCATCATTAAAACCTCGTTCTTGAAATTCTTCGTCATGAACAACACTTTTATTCATGTAGCAAGTGTTTTTTTAATGATCTAATCCAATATAATTCCCAAGATTTTCAGGATAACTTTCTACTGATGCATAAAGAAGAACATGTTTCACCGAATCTGCATTTCTCAAGCTGCAATCGATATTTCCAAGTGATGAAGGGTTTCGTAGAGGAATCCTTTCGGCTCTTGCTTCATGAAGCTCTTCCACTCAAAGGTAACCAGAACCACGAGGACTGCCACTCATATTTTGGGTGGAAGAATGACCTCCATTGATCGCACTGAAAAAGAAGAAGATGATCAATCACTTGCAAATTAACCTCGATAGGATACTGATGAATATCCACATATTTCGGCTTGTGTCGAAGAAAATTTAGTTATGTGAAGAAGGAATAGTTCCAAGGACCGAAGCAGCATTACCACGTTGAATAGCAATACTAATTATTTCTATCAAAAAAGAAGTAGAACGGTAATCTTGCTTGGTCTATTCTTCTTCCGAGTTCATGAACGAATAACACAGACTCCGGGTCATTTGCTGTAATTGACTTTTGTCTTTACATTTCAGTTGATTATTGTTATTTGTTCAAAGTTCTATTTTCACTGAAAAGACACAATATCGAATTTACATAATACACAACTCATTTATCAAATTTTGATTGTTGATTCTGTCTCCATATTTTTTCATTAGCTTTTCAAACGAACCAAACTCGGTGAGATTTTGATTCAATAACTTGAACATAATTCGATGTGGTTGTCGTTATTCGGGATACAAGTTTAAATACATTTCCGATGTCCTGATACTGTTTCTATCGTATTTTTGATACATTTGCATCATATTTCTTTTAATGACTTGTACAATAACAAAATGTCATCGAGTGTAACAAATTGAAAGTCAAATTCAGAAAAATCAAATTTAAAGCCTATTATGATAAGAATTAACATTTTTCAATATCTCCAATTTTTCAAAAAAGAATGATAACTTATGGTGAAATCTGGTTCTATTTGAGAGAGAAAGGATCCAATGTAGCGCCTATGAGAAAAAATGTAGTTGATGGTGGTGGCCGGAAGACGAAACGTCGTATAGCAAATCTGAAAACATAATTATGTAGCAGGGAAAAAGTGACAATGTGGAAGTGCAATTTATTTTCGAATCGTTCGAAAAATGAAGCTAGAAAAAGATATCTGTTTTTTCCAGATATCTCCGGATATACTCGGAATTTCAAAACTTCCTCAACGGCATATTATTAGTCAGTTGAATGCGCAACTTTGCTGCAATTCAACCATCTTCGTATCTCTCATAGTTTCCGAGATCCCTACGGCGAGGATCGGATTTGAAACACCCTGTATAATGGGTTGAGGAAATTTTCTTGAGATGACCGAATCTGACGTCGCGTGCTCGAACTGGACCATCCATTTTCACCCTTATTTCCAACGATGAAAATATCTGGTCGCTCTTGGTACTTGATATTTTCGATACACGTAAAGATCCAAATTCACACTTTTCTTACATTTTTTCCAAATCATCTACGTCGACTGCGTTATGAATATGAAATTACCATAATGTTCGCCTTTCAGCTGACTGGAAAATCTGGGGTATTGGTTTTCATCCATGGTGGAACGTTCATAACAGGAAATTCTTCGGAAACACTTCAAGGACCAGACCATTTTCTGAACGAAGGCATGGTGTTTGCCCAATTCAACTATCGATTGGGAGTTTTTGGATTTATAAGTACAGAAGATTTGGTAGTTCCTGGAAATTTGGGTCTAAAGGATCAAGTTGTTGCTTTGAAATGGATACAAAAAAATATTGCATTTTTTGGAGGTGATCCTAAGAACGTTACCCTTTTTGGACAGAGTGCAGGATCTTCATCTATTTCATACCATATGCAATCTGAATTATCAAAAGGTGAGTGATTATTCGAGTTTAATAATGAAGAATCTAAAAGCTATTTGAGAAATATACATGACAAATACAGGCTGATTCACGGTGGATGGCACATTAGACGTTTCTGGTGAACCAGACAACGGATCACGTGTTTTTTTAATGATCTAATCCAATATAATTCCCAAGATTTTCAGGATAACTTTCTACTGATGCATAAAGAAGAACATGTTTCACAGAATCTGCATTTCTCAAGCTGCAATCGATATTTCCAAGTGATGAAGGGTTTCGTAGAGGAATCCATTCGGCTCTTGCTTCATGAAGCTCTTCCACTCAAAGATAACCAGAACCACGAGGACTGCCACTCATATTTTGGGTGGAAGAATGACCTCCATTGATCGCACTGAAAAAGAAGAAGATGATCAATCACTTGCAAATTAACCTCGATAGGATACTGATGAATATCCACATATTTCGGCTTGTGTCGAAGAAAATTTAGTTATGTGAAGAAGTAATAGTTCCAAGGACCGAAGCAGCATTACCACGTTGAATAGCAATACTAATTATTTCTATCAAAAAAGAAGTAGAACGGTAATCTTGCTTGGTCTATTCTTCTTCCGAGTTCATGAACGAATAACACAGACTCCGGGCCATAAACACCAGAAGTCTCAACAGCTACTGGATGTAACAGATAGTTGTAACCAAGATTTTGGTATTTTTTTTTTNCTTTTTCAAGCAAACGAAAAAACTGTATTTTTTTACCACCCTGTATTGAAGTAACGGAGATTAGGCTGACGTGTGGGAAGTGTCCAAGTATCACTTAACTCCTAATTAAATTTCGATATCATAGTACTTCTTAACTAAAAGATATCGGCATTTTTAGAAGTCATGATTTTCGAAGAAAAAAATTGAAATTAATTTTTATTTCGAAAACGGTAAAAGATAGGTATAGAGAAATATCAAGAAAAGTTGTCGGGCAATTGTTGGAGATTTCAAAAATAATATTATATACAGAGTGTTCCATTTGAAAAATCAAAGTTGCTACTGCTTTCTAATAGAAGCGGCAACACCGCATTGTCGAAAATATTTTAGTTGGCTAGAGAATGTCCGAATATGCCCTCCATTAAATTTTCAAAGTGATCCGTTGTCTGGTTCACCAGAAACGTTTAATGTGCCATCCACCGTGAATCAGCCTGTATATACACGATAAATGGCAAAATTTCGAAAGAAATTATTGAAGGTAGAATCTTGTTTCCAGTGATTTTTTTTCAGTTTGTATATGATGTAATAGTCCAGTTCTATAACATCGAGACCAATATGCATACAGGTCAGAAACGGCTCTTTGTCGGGTAACAGTTAAAGTAGAACATACTCACAAAAACAAGGAAGTACTTTTAGTTGTTTTCTTGGACATTGAGGGCGCATTTGACAATACGTCGTTGGAATCAATCATCCAGGCGTCGAGGAGAAGAGGGATCGACAAGACAAGCTGTAGGTGGATAGACTGCATGCTAACGGAAAATTGGTAGGTATATACAACCATAATGGGGGAAACAGTCGTGGCACGGGTAGCAAGGTGCTGTCCTCAGGGGGGTTCTATCCCCTCTGTTATGGAACCGTGTAATGGACGAGCTATTATGTATCCTGGACCACAATGGGTATAAAGTACTGGTTATGCAGATGGCTGAGTCATCTTAGTCCAGGGTAAATACAATAATGTAGTGAAGGGATACATGCAGCAGGCCCTGAATATTATAACAAGATGAACCGAAGAAGGGCTTAATATAAGCCCATCCAAATAGACCATTGTAGCATTCACCAAGAGGACTAAAACGGAGGGTCTCATACCTCTGAAATTTCGAGGTGAAGAAATCCAAGTGTCGGGGAAGGTAAATATCTGGGAGTAATTCTAGATTTCAAACTGACCTGGAACCAACACTTGGACAGGATGAAGAGGAAAGTGGAGGTAGCATTAATGCTCGCCAGACGCACGTATGGGGGCTGAAACCAGACATGGTATATTGGCTACATACGATGGTGGTTAAACCCATGATAACATACGCATCTCTGGTGGCCGAAGATGAAGCAGGCGACCGCCATCAACAAACTAGGCAAGGTGCAAAGACTTGCATTTTTGGGAATGACCGGATCAAAGAGAACTACCCCAACAGCTGCATTGGAGACACGCCTGAATCTACCTCCTTTACACTTTGTGATAATGGGGGAGGCCGGGATGAGCCAATTCAGACTGGAAAACTCACCGAACTACAAAAGATCGGACCGAACAGAAATATCGGCACAAGTGGAGGAGCTCATATTGAATATGTGCATGGGCCACATGACACCGAAGTGCACCTTTAACACAAACTTCACGGCCAAAATCATAAACCGTGAAGAGTGGAAAAAACCCCAAAGAAATGAGCGGATCAATAAGAAGCATACAGAGTACTGGACAAAAGTACCTGGCAACAAACACAGTAGAACCGTCCGAGAAAAGAACCGAAGAACTACTTCAATATAGTAGGCTCAGAATAATAACAGGGTTACTAAGCGGTCATTGTCCGCTTAGAGGACACCTGAATAAAATGGGGCTGTATAAAGAAAACCTCAGCTGCAGATTATGCAACGAAGGGATAGAAACAGCTCTACACATCTTATGCGAATGTGAGGCACTGAATCACAGGAGGCAGGCAATATATGGACGTACAAAATTACGCCCAGAAGAATATAACGAACATCCAACATGGAACCTGTACAAACTAGTACAGGAATAGAGACTGATGGAATGGGTGTCATGAGAAGATGGGAAAATAAACGCAATAAGCCCAAGGGTCTGCAGTGTTTTCTGGAGACTTGGACTAAATGGACAAGTCTAGTTCACATGTACCATTTTCTTCTAAAATTTTTATATAGTCTCCGAAAATTACGATTAAGATGTCATTTGATTCGTATTGTCACGTAGAAAGTTTGAGGAAAAGTTCGAAAAGGCGCTGAAAAAAATTTCAAAAGTTACAAAAAAATTAGTGGAAAAAATTAAGGTTTGTTGTTTTTTGAATGTCTCAAAAAATATTAAAAATTTCAGTATTTTAAAAAAGATCCAAAAAGATCATCAAATTAGAGCCAAAAACGGGTAGTCTGGCATTCGCGCGCGGTGCGTCAAGACACAGCAACAAATAACAAATTATTTGAACATAATAANATTGTTTAAAGAATTTTCGGTAATTCGGTATAGTTTTATGGTCAAAAGTAGAAGTCAGTATAGCGTGCTTTCGATCCGTTATTCATTGGGTTAAGAGTGGTGTTTTCCTAATTCCTCCTTTCCTTCCCAAAGCCATTTCCAGCACCATCAGAAATCGAGAAGACAAATTACGGACCAGTGAAGGTAAGAACTTTCTTTCTATTTCTCACAGAACATTATCGGGATGTTCTAGAAATAAACAGAACAGGTCCATTCTAGAATTCTGTAGTCGGTTCGGTACTAGAAATTTACCGGCGATTCCCGATTGCATTCTTTCGAGGTAAGGTCATGTGTTTGCTCGATTAGTCGGCTGGCCTATCGATCAGGGACGGCTTTAGATTCGTTACATCACATTACGTTACGTTACATTACGTTGAAGACGCTTTGCCCCGAAATGCCATCCTTGGCGTATGTCGATACCTGCATGACTCTCCATATCTGCATTGTGGAATTCGATGAAAGTAACACTCCACAGTCTTCATGCTCGGTCGTGGAAGATGGTTACCGTACACCAAACTCCAGTTTATTGTATAAGTTTGAAAATGTCCGTATAGAACGAAACTGCAGTAACGTTAGTCACAAATAAAAGTGGTAGAAAACATAGAAAGCTCAATCTGGTAAGACTCCTTCAGACATCTTCATAGAACGGTTTGTATTGAGAATGCTTTTTAGTCACCAAGTAGAAAATGTTTCTCTGGCCCTTCCTGAACTGTAGCACTCCTCCAACTCCAGGATTATGTTCTCGTAATGTTTGGAGCTAACCAAATTTCTTGTTGAATACCACAGTGATACCCCTGGACATTTGGAGATCCTCGGCCACGCAGTGAGCTAGTGCGTAATCAGCGGACCTTCCCACGAGTTCCGCAAATTCGGTGATAAACCACGGCGTCGCTCAGATTTGTACAGCCAAACTAGGTCACTGGTTTCGAATCCTCCAGCATTCGCCTTGATGTTGACCCGTGCACTACCGGCATAAATGGAGGTACTGGTCCCGGTCTCTTTGATGGTCAGAGACTACCTTGGACAAGTGGCGATTTATGGCCTAATTCATTCGTTTCACCATTCCATCGGACTGTCGATGTAAGGCTGTGGTTCGGATCTTTCGAATGTCCACCAGTTTACAAATTTCTTGGAACAGGTTGGACTCGAAATTTCTGCCCTGGTCCGAATACAGCTCAAATAGGACAACGGATCGACATATCAATTCCTTTACCAGGACGTCAGTGACAGTAAAGGCTTTCTGGTTGGGCAGGGCATAGGCTTCTGCCCACTTACTGAGATAAATCCATGGCTACCAGGATGTATTTGTTCTCGTGGTCGGACTCTGAGAACGGGCCGGCGATGTCGATTATCTCAAAGAAGATACCCACGTTATTCTGGCGCATTGGAGCTTTCGATCGTACCCGAGGTCCGTTACTGACAGCACATATAGCACACTTTCTACAACAGTCCTTGACGTTGGCTTGACAATCAGCCCAGTAAAACCGTTGTCTCACTTTCTGGAGGGTTTTCGTTACTACCAGATGTCCTCCAGTTACTCCAACATGGATTTCTTTGAGCACCTCCCATCGTCTGTTCCTGAATACCGCTGTCTGGCGCCTTTTTTCTCCACCGTCTCCAAATTCCACGCCTACTTCAGAACCTCATTTTCCAAGGTAAAGGAGTTCCATTGGGCCAAGTAAGATTCAACCGCTGGCGAATAACCTACTACCTCCTGTCACGATGATCTTTGATTAATTTTTTCCATCCTATGACTAAACCAAGATCTAGGTCTTACTCCTGGTCTTCCTTAATCTTATCGTCCTTCCGATTGTTGTCTACAGCTGTAGTTCTACAAATAGCTGCTTCCTTCTCTTCTGCTCGTCGGCAATGTGAGCAGTCATCGGGACATGGTCTCCGTGACAGGGCATCTCCGATTTTATGGCTAGTCCCAGCTCGATGTTCTATTTCGAAGTTACAATCATGAATTTTCTCGATCCAGCGCGCTACTACTGTGAACTAGGCTATAATTTTCTGGGCTTAATCTACACACCGTGTGTTTGAAGGTGATTGACAATGTGTCATGATGAATTTCACTAGTTTGGACTTCCATTGTCTACTATATAAAATGATTTGAAATTCACCAAAACTTTTTTTAGGTTCAGTTATTTGGATCAGGAGTTGGAAAGTTGAGAAGCTCTCGCCCCTGATCTAAATTTACAGGGAGGTCAGCTGGAGTTGTAAGTTCGACATCTATCTCCTCTGTAGACTCAGCGTCTGTCCATAAAAGTAGCTAGGGAAAGGAGGTCAATCACGGCGGATCCCCGCATTATCGTAACAAGGCGATGCTACGACGAGAGGGCCCCCGGAATCTCAGAGGCTCCGTAGAGACAGATGATAGGCCCAGTGTCACACCTTAGGATTAAGCTATCCTTGGGATGCCATTGAGTTAGGGAATAACAGAACCACAAGTGATTCTGTTATTCCTTTATCCAGCGGAGCTACGTGAAAACAGGCATCCGATTGCCGGTTTGCTCAACCCCCACATCCCAAGCCAATACACTTGCCAAAAACAGCATGCACAGTGATTCAGGCAGTGAAAGATGAACAAGGACAGCCAAGCCGCCCAAAGTAACATAAATTACATTTTATTTACCTTTTTGAGCAGTTCGTTGTTTGATATTAAGTTTAGGTGTTCGATGTTGTATATTACGAAAGTGCTTCTTACATATTTCTTCAAATGATTATATTCGTAGATAAAATAGATACATGAATTTCACTAGTTCGGACTTCTATTGTCTACTATATAAAATGATTTGAAATCCCTGAAACAACTAAAAAAGAAGAATTGAAAATGAGTAATCTAAAGCAAATGAACTTCAAACGTTCAAGCCAGTCTCGATATACCTACACAGTAGGTTTAATGGACTGACACCTATCAGAAAACAACTACTCCCCTGGCTAATACCACGAAGGGCGTTGGATTATATCAGACAGGCGTCAGTGCAGGAATCTTCACAGAAAATGTCCTGCATATGCAATTGGCAATACAACTGAAAGAGTCGACCTTCAATTATGGAACGGGCACACTTGCAGACCGGTTTCGGGCTTATTAGCCACTCATCAGTGCAAGAT